GTCATCTCTGGCCTGAAATTCTTTCTGAATATCCTACTGCAAAACTCACAGCAGAAATTCAGGAGCACAGACACAGGTGACAACAATCAGAAGCACAGAAGCATTTCTGCAAGAAAAAGAGGTGAAAACTCAGTTCTCACTGTCAGGCAGAGAAGAAACAAATCTAGATATTGAAAGTACTAAGTGTGTTTAGAAGAGTAAATTGGGAAATCCATCCATCCTCTTGTCATAAAAAGCAGAAAGGAGGGACACACAATTACACTGAGAAGCAACATGTTTCAGCTGCAAAGAGGAAATTTTTTGGTAGGACTTAACTCCTGAAACCAGTTGCCACAGCTTAGAGCATGTGGTTAAGAACAGCTTGGTGGACTCTTGGAAAGGCAGGAATATTCAGGAGTGCACATCTTTGTGCCACCTAACTTGACTCAAAAATCCCTTTGGGCTGGCCTAGGACCTTAAAAGCCTGGCCTGCAGGAGCTGGGCTCAGCCAGGCACTGCTCAGCAGAGCACACAGCGAGGGACCTGGAAATGCACTCATCTGTGGGGGAGCAAGTGCTGCCCAGCCTCACGACATGTTGCTCACCAGAGACAGAGCATGAAGCACAAGGGGAAAACCTTCTCAGTGGTTTAGTTCCCTCTCTCTGCTCCCTTCGTGATCCTGTGCCTTGGACAGCCTCGCTCCCTGCTCAGCTCCCACAGGGAAGAGCTCACTTAGCAAATCTTGAGGTGACTGCAAGCTGCGAGGGATGGCAGTGCTGCAGGACAGAGTCAGCATTCAGAATGACCCTGGCAAAGATATATATGGGAAAAAATATGTACAGCTCACTGAGGATGAAAGGAAGTGATTGCATATAGTGAAGAATAATCAGTTGCAACTTTGCAGCAAAGGGGATGGGTAACTGTAGACAGTCAAATATAATGTTGAAGACAACGCAAAATACAATGTGAAATTAATAAGAAACTGTAGAGATTGTTACATGGGAGGGGTTGCATTGCTGAATATAGGTGAGGCTTCATGTACAGAGTAATACAGGAGAAGAAAGAGGGGAACAACCAGCAAAGAGGAAAGGCAGAGGTCAAGGAAAGTTCAAACCCTGAATGAAGTGGGGTTGATTTGCAAGAAGGAAAGCGTGAGGTGAGGAATGATAAAATGCTTAATTTTAAACTCACCATTCCTGCCACCATTCATCAATGCCTGTGTTTACTTATTTGCTGGGATTTTAGAGTTGAGCAGTGATCCCAGGATATCTAGCACTTGCTTATAGGACAATCACTCTTAAAATTTACTTACCTGCTCCAGACAACTCCCACATTGCAATTGCCATTCCTCTACCTTATTAAACAGGGTAGAAACATATCTTTGACTGAGCTGGACTGCATAAACTGTCTTTATTGCTCTGATAGATTTCTGCACTGAACAACTAGAAGGAGCTACTAAGTCTCCTTCAGTCATTTCTGGATCAACTTTTCCAGTGTACAAAACCAAAACTGTGACTGATCTTATAGCAGGTTATGATTCACCACCTAAAGTTTTGACATTTCTCTGGTGCAAAGAGCCTTGTACACCAAACACCATCTCCCTATTAGCCTTCAACCTGCTGAAAGATCAATAGAGGAAGTCTGAATGAGAACATAAGGCAACCTTGAAAGGAAAGAATTCTGGATATATTTACTACAAAGCTTCTTCACCCAGGGATTACTAAACAGCCATTCAGATAGTACCTGCTGGATTGTGGCACTGAAAGATGCCTACACATAAATACAGGCTTCTGGAGTACAGCTGTCTAAACATCCACCAGAAAAATACCTAAACATGGACTAGAACTTCCAGCAGATAATGCCAAAATATAGAAGGTGTGTGAACTGACCTCAGAGCACCAGAGGCAATCATGTGTGATCCATCCAAAAAGAAGCAAATTTCAGGAGCCTCAGTCAGCATAGCACCAGGTGCCACAGCCACCTACCCTGCTGGGCAGCATGGCCTCTCCAGGAACACCACCAGAGAACATGAAAAACACCAAAAATTGCCTTTAATTATCAGTAGTCTTATATGACATCATTTCCTTCATTTTCCCAGCTCTGTGTAGTCTGCATAGTTCCACAGACTATGGATAATCTCAGATTATAACACAAATTCACTACTCTTTCAAAAGAGCAACACCTGACTTCCAAGAGGGCAAAGGTGTTTAGGAATTGCAGTATTGGAATCGGTCAGCAGAGGGCAAGGCCAGCATCAAATTTGGGATGTTCAAAGTAGAGGCACTTTGGGCCCTACCCCTCTCCACGGTGTGCTGGGCTTGACCAGCTCTGGTAGTAAATGGGTTCAGACCTTGTGCATCCCTTGTGCTCACCAAGACAAGCCTCTCTGAGGCCACAACTTGGGCTGTTTCCTCTCCTTACAGAGAACGTGAAGGTGACAGAAGATATCAAGCTTATAAACACACAAATCTCAGTGCAGAGCGAACTACAAGCACCCTGCACAACCAAAACATCTGTCAACAGCATTCAGTCTTCTAGACAGGTAAAAGCAGAAGAGCTTTTCCAGGCATCATTTCACCCCCATGCTTCCATCTGCTCACCACTTCATTGAATTGTGGAGCACCACGTACACACATTCTCTAATGGGTGTTATTGAAGACATCTATTTTCCTTGACACCCTGGAGCCATGGCATAACTGAGTTAGGAAGTAACACCACATCAAGATAAATGTGTTTTGCAGCATCAGTAACAAGAGAGATGCCAGAGGAGCTGTGTTTTGAATGAGTATTTTTGCTTTGATTTGTAACCAAGTCACAGACCAGCCTCAGCTACAGGTCACTGAGCTAAGTTGAAACCTATAGCATGAGACATGAGAACTACTCATGTGCAAAAGTACCATGCAATTAATGCCTTGTTTCATCAAAGTAAATGCAAACTTTGGTGATCAAGAGAACAAGCAAAATTATTGCTATTGTATTTGAAGTTTGAAGAGGCTCTCCTATACTGTATCACATGAAAGAAAGTTTTTATCACAATTTCATTAGAAAGACCTAGGAGTATGATTTCCATACTTACCAAGCACTTTATTGAACAGAGGCCTACTTGTGGGTATGAAGCTAAGCATCTTCACTACTAAGATAACAGCTTTCTATCTTCCCCTTTTGTGAAAAAAGGGTATGGTTACTTAGCCTCAACATTTTGCTATGATACTCTGTGCATTTCTGTTCAAAATCATCCAGAGTGCCTATTAATCAACCTGGACACAACCCCAACTTTCCAAGGAAGCCAAGTGTTCATTATTTGGGTATTTGTCTGAACTTGTTCCCAATGCCTATGTTTAGAACAAATAAAGACATAGATGACCATAATAAACCAGTAATATTTGTTGAGAGTTTACCTTATAATCAAATTAGATACTTTATCATTGAAAAAAACTTGTTTTCTGATTACATGCATGCATCATTTTTTATCAGTGTAATTAGTGCTACTCCAGTAAATATCTAAGTACTTCTCAGCATATGTTTTGCAAAATCAGGTGCTAAAACTGAGTTCTGCATTTTTCCTCTCTCAAAGGGGCAACATCTGCAAGAAAAAAAAACAAACAAACCCACAACAAACCAACTTTTCTCATTGTTCTAGCCCCAGGTTTCTGAGGATCTATAATTTCACTGCTGCCTTACAACCCATCAAGAGTGAAGAGCTATAACTGTGTTTATTTCTTCTTCAGCAGCACAACATTTGATCTGTTGGTGGCCCCTGCCAGGGCTGGTTCAAAGCTTAATGAGCTGCATTAACTTTTAACAAGTGTTTTGGAAGAAAGAATATGTCTAAAAAATATCAGGAGTGCTGTTGTGTAAGTAACAGGACAGCAGGTGTAAACACAGAGCCAGAACAGCCAGAAAGTATCCTGACATTCTTCTTGCTTGACAAGCTTTATAGTGTAAACAAAAGAGTATCACCCAGTTCTTCCTGCCAAAAAGGGAATTACTCTTTGCATTATTCTATTGTAAAATGCTACCTCAAACAAAATTTACATTCACTTCCTGCTGACACTTATGCTGCTCTTTCCTTCATGTATCTTAGTCTATATTTACAGCATTTTCATCTCCATTCCCACATCTCAGTTTCTCACCACTTCAGAACTATTTCTCTCAACAACAACTTCTGCTTGACCCTTTTCTCTGTCTGCTGCACCAGCACAGAGCATCCTGATACAGAGGAAAAAGGCAGTGACTATGTTGTGAGGAAGAATATGCTATAAAGCAGACGCCAGAGCAAGTTTCCTTTGAGAGGAACTGTTGCTTGTTAATGACAGCCAAAGTAAATTAAATGCCCCTGAATGTAGAAGGGTCATTTTATTTTTTAAAGACACAAAAATTACTATTTAAAAAAAAAATATCAATCCATAGAGGAAAACCAACAGAGTTTGGAGGGAAGAAGAAGGAGTAGACCCCTTCTCAAGTTCTTGATAACTTTGTACAATAGAAAAACACTGAATTTGTCATCTGTGTTGAGAGAAGACATAGCTCCACCACTTTCTGCATGCTTTGCCCTGATACAGACTTACTGTAATGATGGAGCAGATGCTCACTACAGTTTTATGAGCAATAAGACTTTAAAGACACAGGGTACTAACCTCTAAAGTAGACTTATCCTCTGAGACACTGAACTAATTGCACAATGAATCTGTGCTAGATGGAAGAAAAGTTCACAGGAACAGCAGCATGTGTCTTGACTCCTCTCCCTGCTTCACAACACTTCTCTGCAACATATTTTCAAAAGTAAGCATGTACTGGACTTTCTAAAAAGTTACTCAGGTGCTATGCTAGGCTATTTTTTAATTCTCATTTTCTGTTCTTCCATCTATGAGAAAAGGAGATCAGTGATGCATTCTAGAAACTTTATTACACACTTTAAAAATGCCTTAAAATGAGCAGCAAAATACTTGACAAAGAAGTAAATTAGTGGTATTGAGCCCCAGCATCCATAAGTGCACAAACCAGACCAGGAAAAGCAAGTTTCACTGGCTACCACCATATTTTTGAGAAGCAACATTTCCACTAGTTTTCTTCGGAAGGAGCTGAGAAAGGATATTCGGCATAACCCCGCCTTGAGGAATGGTCACACAGGCAAAGAGCTTGTTCAGCTCATCATCATTCCTCACAGCCAGCTGAATGTGCCTGGGCAGGATCCTTGTCTTCTTGTTTTCATGAGCAGCATTCCCTGCCAGCTCCAGGACCTCTGCTGTCACGTACTCCATCACTGCAGCCAGGTAGATGGCAGCGCCAGAGCCAATCCTGCCAGCGTAGTTCCCTCTCCGCAGGAGCCTATAGACACGGCCCACAGGGAACTGCAGACCTGCCCTGGCTGATTTGCTCTTGTTGGATGCGCTTCTAGGGCTGCCAGCCACTGCTTGTTTCTTTCCACGTCCAGACATTCTGACAGGCAAGGACACACAGAGGGCTGGAGGTCTTCAAAGCACTTGGGTGCTACAGCTAATGGACAGCAAGAGGAGGCAACAGCAAGGTCAGTTCTGCTCTTCCACATCTAAGGGAAAGCTCATTCTTTTCTTGAGGAAAGAGCTCACCACACACCACAGTTCATCAACAGCAGAGCTAAAATTTTAACAGTTATTGCCCTTTTCCAGCCTGACTTTTAGGAGAAGGATCTCATTGCAAAACTTATCAAGCGTTATTGAAGTTAGCTATGAAGGGCTCAAAAGGAGAGAGGCTTTCCCCTGCTACTTGGAATGTATTGAAGATTGAGGCACGGTGGGTCTTCTTCAGCAAGATTTTTTTTAAACACCACAACTGTTACCTCAAAGCTAACTTGAGGCCTGTCTCTTCTTTCAAGAGCAATCTGCAATATAACTTCTACTATCAAGTTACAACTTCCCTCCAGTTCAAATCTAAAAATGGAAAAATTCTTGCAGCCTACAGCTTGTTATACCCAAAATACTCCAGGACATTTTCATACACAGCTTTAAATAATTCCCTAAGCTTTATTCTCTGGCTTCTATGAGAATATTGGAGGTCTTCTGTACGAGGAAAAGGATAAATTGATTTGGACAGCACAATGCAGACTGAAGAGAAATTACTATCTCATGATGAAGGAAATCCAGCCCAGCTAGAATACTCTTACAACTGGAGTAGCAAAACTACTCTTTAAATAACATTTCTAGTCTATCAGTAAACAGGACAGTTAACTTCCAGCACAGCTGTTGACAACATACAAAAACACCCATCACTACATTAATATTTAGGGTTTTTACTGAAAGATTTAACTATTTTTAAAAAAGAATAAGCTTTAAAAGAATAAGCTTTAAAAAGAAGGTGGAAAAAATAGTAAAACTTAAAAAAAACCCCAGCTCCTAATAAAATCCAAGCAAACTAAGTGCTTATAACTCCTTATCCCTATTACCAGACAATACTTTTCCCAAATTATTCACAGTACAGTCATGCTGTGTAATAGAGGCAGCTAACTTACAAAATAACACAAGGCACATAACCCCAAATCTTTTACAATACATTATAAATGAAACGTACATCACATTACCTTCAAAAATGCTTTCTTTTTTTTCCCTAGTCTGTGCCTTACTACAATCTACACCCAAGCACAAACAAGTCACATAACACCTCTACTATGGGCCCAAAACCTTTTTATTAGCAACTTTTTCTCCTCACCAGTGGGTCACCTGGGTAATTAATGAGTCATTTACACATGTGTTTCATCTTCCCTCACCTAATCCCTGATTTGGGGCAAAATGAAGAAATACATTACAGCTGCTCAGAAGCAAGTTGGCTGTGGAGAGGGGGAAGAAGGCAGGCTGTCTGCAGGGGCTGAGCCAAAGCTCCATTTCAGCCTCACTATGGCACTGCCAGTTCTCACCCACTCTGCCTGGAGCGTTTCTGTCTGCATGCTGTGTGTAAAAGCAATCCTCTTCTTCCTGCTGAAACTTGATAGAAATACATAGGGAAAATGGGCTTTGTAAATATATTTTTATTTGGGTGGGAGAGGGAAACTGCGTTTTACTTTTGATGTGTTCTGGGTAGAGTCATGCTTGGTTCACAATGTGTCTGAGCCCCACCAAGTGATGTGATGGGACTGTTCCTAAGATTTAGGCTTCTGCCCCCTCTTCTGGTAACTCTGTCCCAGATGGGGCTCAGGGTTTACTGTGGCTCTGGTGCTAAGGGTGCTTGGTTAGTTCCTCTTTGTTCTCCTGGGCAAAAATCTCAGCTCAGGCAAAGGAATATTTTTGAGCAGCCTTTAAAGAATGAGTGCTCACTTCTTCCTCATGCTCTTTCTGTGTTTGTTCTCTGGCACTCAAAGCAGTTTCCAACCAGCAGCATACAAGAGCTGTGGGTGTGAATGATATTGCAGCCAGAGAAGATGATTACCAGAGGGTACTCCCAGAAGCCCAGGCTCTGGCAAAATACTCAGACAACAAAACTGTCATGAACAGTTCAGCCTTTGGTTCTGCCTGCCAGACACCTGCTGTGGGTCAGAGCCTCACAGCACCTGCATTTGTGGCGCTCACCCACTTTTCCTACAAGGATGAGCATTTAGTCTAAGCTGAGTGAGGCTGAGTTTCCTGCCACCTGAGGGCATTGAACAACCAGTATGGGGCACCCTCTGCATGTCCAAATGCCACGAGGACTGATGTCCTCTCAAAGCACAGCTATCATTTCTCCTAATTCAGAGGCAGAAAAGGTGGCTGTGCCTTCCCTTCAGTAACCTGGATTTAGCACAGGGAAAATGGCCAGCCCACTTCACAATAACTGGCTGCTAATGGGATGCCCAAAACCTTCTAACACGTGGAAGTGGGGCTTCTAAATTTTCATTTCAGGCCCTTGCTAGAGTTGAGACAGTCCTTCCTCCACATGCCAAACACACTCTTAAGGCCGGCTGGCAGGCTCTTTAGGGTTCTTTTATGGGGACTGAGATCTGGGTAAGCGTGCTATCCATTGGGCTAGAACACAAAAGGAGGGGAAGGGAGGCAGAAATAGGTCTCTTCCCTCCGCTATGTGTCTTTGAAAAGCAAGCTGAAAAGATCTGCTCAGTTCTTTGAAAGGACAGGCCTAGGTGCCAGTTTGGAATGGGGTGTGATCCCAAGCAGATTAGGGTCACCACATCTCACACACTTTTCAGTGTTTTCTGAGTGATACTTTAACACGGACTCAAAACTGAAATAAAAGTAACTATCAAGAGACAAATTTCTGGTAATTTCAGTTGGCTATCATCCAATCATAAGAATACTGTAAGTACACCTGATTATGCCTAATAAGAATGGATAATATAGGTTTGAGTGCTTATTTTATTTTATTATTTTATTTTTTAACAGATCAGAGAAAGCAAATAAGTAGATAAACCAGTAGGGAAACAAAGCAGGGTATGAAATCCAAACAGATAAAAAAGGCTCAGTGAAGTGGAAACAGAAGTTACGGGGAATCACAGAAAAAGACTGGGAGGGACCACAGTGAGTCAGTCACCTGTCCAACCTCCCTGCTCAAGCACGGCTATTCCATGTCAGCCTGGATGGGGCTTGCAGCAACTTAATTTACTGGCAGGTGTCCCTGCCCACGGCAGGAGGATTTTCGATCTTCAGGGTGCCTTCCCAGCGCTCTGTGACCCCTCCTCACGGCCCAGACCGGCCCGAGGCCTCCGTCGGCCGGGACTATCCTTATTAGGCGCTGCGGGAAGCGGCGGCGCCGGGCCCGCCCGCCGGGAGCGCCGCCTCCTCCGGCCGCGCCGCGCACGCCGGGACCGGCCCCGCCCGGCCTTGCCCAGCAGCGCTGCCCGGGCCCGGCCCGGCCCCGCCGGCACCATGCAGGTGAGCAGCCGCGGTGCCCCCGTGTCCCCGCTCCGGCCTGTGCGGGCGGTGCTGCGGGGCCAGCCCGGCAGGGCCAGGGGCCGCACCCCCGCTGGGCCCCGCCGACAGCCACGGGCCGCCCTCCCCGGCCGAGGGCCCGGGGCAGCCGGGGTGGGGGCGGCCCGGGTTCCTGCCGCTCGCCCGGGGCAGAGGGGCGGTGTTGTTCGGCAGCTCCATGGCTGGGTTTGTGGCAGTTAGTTGCTTTTTTTGCAGCTACGGTATTTACTTCACTACTGTAGTGAGTGGGTCGGCGTATCAGGCACTGCGTGTGATAGTAAATGCGGGGTCGAGGGAAAGGTGACCGCTGTCAGAGACGGGGGGAAAAAAATGTCTGGTGTTGTGTTTGCTGAGCTCCATTGTTCTTTTTCTTTATTTTCTTCTGTTTCTTCTCCCCTTCTGCCCCCTACCCCTCCCTTCCTGTGCCCCATAGCCCATAAGTACTGCGGCTTAGTCGGGGAGGAGAGATGGCTGTATGGCTGTGAACTGACCTGGTGTAAGGTGTGCTGATACGAGCTATAGCAAAGCAGTAGGTGTGTTCTATTTCTAAACTGGACCTAGGCCAAGACAACAAGGAAGCACAAGCAAGCTATGGGTGCTTATCACTGAGATTTCTTGTATTTTAAAAAATATAATTGCCTGCTAAGTAGGAAAATCTCATACTCAGCTACTCTCCTTTTCAACAATACGTAGAGATGTATTGGCCTTGTTTTGCGGGATTATTGCAATTATTTTACAGTAAAATCTCAGGAATAGTCTAGCTATAGATTTGGATCTGAATCTTTAGCAGTGGGCTTGGCTGACAGAAATGGCTTGCTTTTCTCTAGGCACTTACATAGTCACTCTGACTTGAATCTAATAAGGAGACTTCCCATGTACTGAGTGCTAGGTCTGTAAGGTTTGTGCCTGTGTATGTCTTGTCACTACTGCTTTCTGATGCAGTGACCATTGATTTGGTGGCCTGTCCTGCTGAGGATCTATAAGGAAGCCCTCTGGCTAGCATGCTTCTCTGTCACTCAGCTAATACCCTCTCCTTTTGTTGCTCTTTGTGAGAGACGCAGAAGTGGTTACAATGCTTCAGACTTTGGTACCCAGCCAAGACCTCCTGTATGTGCTGTGAGTGGGATAGAATAAAGCAAAGTCAGTCTTCAGGGTACTGCAGGTCTGCGGCTGGAGAGAAGCCTTGGCGTCAGGAGGATTTGCACTGTGGCTTTCTGGCACCATCCATCCAGTTACCAGTTTAGTAAATGTGTTAAATTCTACAAGTGGTAAAATTCACCTTGAAGAAATACCATCCATTTGTTGTTCTGTTCTAGGATCCAAATAAAGACACGGAGTGGAATGACATTCTGCGTAAGAAAGGAATCCTTCCTCCAAAGGAAAATGTGGAGGAACAGGAACGGGCAAAGGAAGAGGAGCAGTTTGCCATCCTTCAGAAATCTCTGGGTGAGTGACCAGCCAACTCAGGCAGCAGAAGCCTTGGAATGGCTCCTGGAGGAAGTTTTCTCAAAGAAATTACCAGCAGCAATGTTTATATGCCATACAACCAAAGTGATTTCAACTTCTGTGGGGGGGGGGAAAAACAAGTCTTGAGTCCTAAGTTATTCTTGAAGAAAATACCTTATAATCAAGTGATTTTAGTTATATTCCTACTATTGTTAGGAATAAGCATACTTCAGCCAGGGTGTAATTAGTAGGATGGCATGATAGTAAATACTGAATGGGACCATTTTGACCACCACAGTTGCAAACAGGTCTGACCTTACAGAAAATTTCCATGTGGAAACATGAGGACATGGGGCACTATTCAGGAATATTCTGCGTTATTTGACTTTAGTCCTTAAAAAATTTATTTTAAACAGGCACAGATGCTTGTGCTTAATAATGTTTGTAACACTTATTGACTGTTTTATGTGATGCTGTTGGGGGACTCTGAGTAGGAGTTAGTGATATATAGATTTGAAAATTGATCTTGAAAGTTAGGTGGTGAGAGTTTGGGAGGGTCCTCATTTTCCTTTTTAAACACAGGCCTCTAAACCAAAACATTTCAAGGACTTCCATTACCTCAGATAAATTTAATTCTTTTTTTTAAAGCTTTGTGCCCCACAGGACTGTAATGTGTCATTTTCCAGGTTTGTAAGTACACCAAAACTTCATCTGTGCAGGGTGATCAGCTGTTAATGGTATCAAACAAATACATTCCTAAGCACATGGATCCTTCCAGCACAGGAAAGCTTTGTTCTTCATGTCAGCTCTGTATTTTTATGGAAGTAAATGATTGAAAACTGAAACAGGGGTGCAAAGGGAATCAGCCAGGTGAATGTGCATGTCTGTGCTGCAGCTGCGAAGCTTGGAAGCTTGTGCAGGTAGTTGGGTGCTAGTCTAGGCAGCCTTCAGCTCAGAGGCCTTTTCCATCATATTCTTTCCATCTGTATGTCTAAGGCACATAACACTTCCTAACAATCTAGTAAGAATAATAATAACAGGTTGAGAAAGTTGGGGCTGCTTATCCTGGAGAGGAGAAGCCTTGGGGGAGAACTTTAGCCCCCACTTCCAGTGCCAAAGATACTGAAAAAAGAGCTGGGGAGGGACTTTTTAGAATCATAGAATAGAACCTTAGAATGTCCTGAGTTGGAAGGGAACCACAAGCATCACTGAAGTCCCAACTCCTAAGGGCAGTTCCAACTTTGAGACCATGTAGTGGTAGATAGGACAAGGGAAAATGGCTTTAAGGTGAAGGACAGTAGGCTTAGATTAGATATTAAGAAGAAATTCTTTGAGGGTTGTGAAGCACTGGAACAGGTTGCCCAGAGAAATTCTGGATGTCCCATTGCTGGAAGTGCTCAAGGCCAGGTTTCATGGGCCTTTGAGCAGCCTGGTTTAGTGGAAGGTGTCCCTCTTGGCAGAAAGGGTTGGAACTGGATGATTTTTAAGGTCCCTTTCAACCAAGCCATTCTGTTATTCTAAGATAATATTTTTAAAAAATCCACTGCATACTTCCTATTAATCTGTCTTTAGAGTAAATAAATTCTGTTGGACTAATAAAAGTTAATGAGTGTTAATCCTGGAATGAGGTTTTTGCTGATTTAATGTTTCTTCTATTCTAGTGAAAACTTATGAGGACATGACTCTGGAAGAGCTGGAAGAGAATGAAGATGAATTTAATGAGGAAGATGAGAGAGCTATTGAAATGTACAGGTCAGAGCAGCTTGCAGAATTTGGCTGTAATGATAATTGGAGGGTCTTTCTTTTATATGCTTTTAGATATTGTGAAGAGAAAGGATGTTTTTAGGATGATGGAAGAAGGGGGTTGTGTTTCTGGTCTCTTGTGGAGCTTCTAAGTGTCTTTAAAAGGATAACAGCTTTTGAATTCAGTATCCTTTATCTACGGCCTAGCTTTGCAGAGATAATGTGCACCTGCTGAGTGTATGGCTGGGGGTCCTGAGAGCTTTGAAAATCACCTCCAGGAGTTCCTAATTTTTGTCTCAATGAGATTAAGGTGCTGCAGATTTGCATAATTAGTGTTGGTTTCTGTCGATCTCATAATGTCTCTCATGGCTTTTGCCATGAGGTTTGATCGTGTATTATCTGGAGAAGAAAGGTCTAGTGAGGCCAGAAATGAGGAAAAAAAGCATTTCATGAGACACAGATTTACTTCTTGCATGTGGCTTTAGCCTATGATGCAAATAATGTACATGATGCAGAGCATGTACAGTGTAATTTTGCTTTTATTGCTCTGAGGTTAGAAGAAGTTTGTAATTTTATCTTTGAAGTCTAGGCTTCAACCAGCTCCTTCAAGTTATGTTCTGTCAAAAAAATGCATCTATTCACAAGATGTCTTTTTCATTCCTGGCTATTTAGGCAGCAAAGGTTAGCAGAAATGAAGGCAGCTCAAATGAAGAATAAATTCGGGGAAGTCTTGGAGATTTCGGGAAAAGATTATGTTCAAGAGGTTACAAAAGCTGGAAAAGGTATATGGGTAGTCTTACACCTCTACAAACAAGGGTAAGATTTTTTTTTAAACCATTAAACCTTGCACTGTCAATAAATGTATAGTTATTGTGGAACTAAGGACTGATTTTGGAGTTCTAAGAAATAAAAACAAATGAGTAATTTTAAACTGTTGAGTCCAGATTGCTGAACTTCATTCTAGAATGATGTTACCATGAGGTGGCTTTTTTATACATATCTACAGCACAGCAAGATGTGAACCATACAGCTTCCATAGAGGTAGCTGCTGCCACTGAAATATCCAAGCTTTGGAAATTATTCTGGATCAAATGCAAGGGGCTGTGAATAGGAAGGATCAATGTGTATTTAGCTTGGTTTCTAGTGATATACAAATGGAGTGAGCAAGGTTTGCAGTCCTGTCACCATGATAGAAAACCTTGTCAAAAAGGTCTGTTAGCATTGCTAGATTTTTTTGGAAAGGTTATGAATACTTGCTGTTGTTCTTTGTCTCTAATTGCATATAGGTGTTGATCATCATTTGCATACCTTCTTCCAGGAGCAGCTTTGCTTTTATGCTTGCTCATGCAGCTTCTAAGTATCCTAAATTCATTAACCAGTTTCCCTGAATACAAAGGGGGTAGAGGGGAAGGATGCATTATTAATATATTAAGACAAAAAACCCACCACACACCAAAATCTCCAGTGGAGCTATCTCCTTTGAATGCTGGAATACAGAAGTTGCTTCTGGTACTTTTGTCTTTGCAGAAAGTCATCAATGTGATATTTCTGACCTTTCTTCTGGAGCTGTTTACTTTTTAAATTGTCTCTTATTTTCTCCTTTTGTGTGTCTGTTGCTCTTCTTCTCAGAATTCCACTCTGTGCCTTAATAAATCAACATATGAGTGGGCTTGCAAAGAAGTTCAGAGATGTGAAATTCATCAAAGCTATCTCTACCACCTGCATTCCCAACTACCCTGATAAGAACCTGCCCACGATATTTGTGTACCTGGAGGGAGACATCAAAGCTCAGTTCATTGGGCCTTTGGTGTTCGGTGGCATGAACCTGACAAGGGATGGTGAGTGTCTGCATCTCTGCTCTTCCCAAGGAAAAGCAAAACTGCATTGCTGGGAATGAGAGAAATGAGGCTTAGGAAGGGAAGGGAGGTACTGAAAATGATACTAGATTTTTTTCCCCCCGCTATGGCTCAACCACATGCTGTCTTGTAAAAGCAGTGATAGGCCAACATGTAGGTATTTGTCTTGTGTGTGCAAGTATTTATGCCCTGTATTGGGTAAAACAAATTTTGCTGGATATATTAAAGGGTAAACAGTACCCATGTATGTTTACATGGGTAAACATGTAAACATACATGGGTACTGTTTACCCTTTAATAGGTAAACAGTACCCATGTACTGGGTGTCTTGGACATGAACAACTGCCCTTGCCAGCAGTGATATGGTAATATCTGCACTTACCTACTGGATTGTAGGGCTCCTTGTTTCATTTTCAAGATGATGGCATATATTTGTCTGCTGTCCCTGACTAAGTTAGCTTAATTCAGTAATCACAGAAAGCTGTGTACTGACATTTCTGCACTTTTCTTTTATGTCTTCCTTCTCCCCTAAGCACATCTGCCTTCCACTAAAGATTAAAGAAAGTGTGAGGTTGTGTTCATTATTCTGTAATATCTGAAAGAAATTAGATTTGATGATAGGATTATCAGCAGCAGTAGGAGAATAGTTTCAATTGAATGTGTTGTATTGACTTTCTACCACTTCTGGGAAGCAATCCAGTCCAATTTGGGCCTACTGCTGGTGGTGAAGTCTCTCTTTACTGTCTAAAGGAACTAATATTTAGTGTGTGATGTAGAGACAAAGGGGTGAATTCTATTTACAAGGTACATCTGTGGAAAATACCTATAATTCAGATTATATATTATAGATATTATTTCATTGTAAATGAATATATTATAGATATTATTTCATTGTAAATGAAATTTCCACAATTTACAATGAAATAATATCTATAATATATAATCTGAATTATAGGTACTTTATATCATTCAGATAGAAATAAATACAATACCTATAATCTGAATTATAGGTATTTTATATCATTCAGATTATACATTATATATATTATTTCATTGTAAATGAAATTTCCACAATTTTTTGCCTTTTATTAAATTTATTCCCTGCCTCTTCTGGTTGTGATGAGCTCAGTATATGATGGGAGCAGCTGTAATGTATGAGCAGTATTCCTTCCCTGGCAATAGATGTGCAAACTTGTCTTCTGCCCTTATGTGGCTAGAAGGAGGTAGAATTCACTTTCTCTGGGAGAGTTGCCTCTAAAGCTGTTGCTCTGCATCCATCACCTCTTTTGCACTCCTGGTTGCAAGGTGAGCAGGGTGGCACTGGGGATGTCACTGGTGGGTACAGAGTACCCTGACCTTTGTGCCCTGGGCTGAGACCTGTTCCAGCACTAGGGACTGGGAAAGGAGGGGATTGGCTGGAGCTGGTGTGGTAAATGGGGCAGGAGCTTGGATCTGGGTATGGAAGAAGAAGAGGAGAAGGGCCCTGGTGTGGTGGGGTGGTGGTAGGATGATGAGGGAACTCACCCGGGTGTCTTTTCTTCACTTTGCTCCCCTGCATTCATGACTCTTGTTTTGCACTGCACAGAATTGGAGTGGAAGATTTCTGAGTCGGGTGCCATCAAGACAGACCTCGAAGAGAACCCCAGGAAGCAGATCCAGGACCAGCTCATGTCCTCAATCAGGGCATGTGTCCCAGCCAGAGGGGAGAGTGACTCAGAGGATGACTAATTCCTGCATCTGCAGCCAGATTGATGCAGTGCACTGGCAGCCAGTGCTCCCACCTCAAGTACTGGAGACACTCCTCAAGGCCTTGCTGAGCCCCAGAAGGGTAGCCTTTCAAGACATTCATTCTAGAAACCTCTAGAAACTAAAAACATTTCTGTTTTTAAAAAATTGCAGCTTCACTTAAGATGCTGAAAGACATTTTGTACAGTGAAGCCTGAGTAAATCTTACTCAAAGGTTTTAAAATACAGATGTGAGTAGAAACAGGTCTCTTGTTATTATTTTCATAGTAAACTGCTACTTCTTAAAAAAATTTGAAATATGAAGTGGTCATAAGTGCATTGTTTTTAACAAGCTAAAGTTGTATAAATCAAATCTAAATAGCTGTCTTAAATAATTGCTTATGGCACTTAAATGGACCATCAGAGCACCCACTGTGCTCTGACAGCCTGGACTTCACAGAGAGCTGGGGGGGGTGGTACCCATGATGCAGGTGCTTCTGAAGGTGGTGTGTGGTCCTCTGCAGAGATGTGCTGGCACCAGAGGGACAACATGAGGCTGCAAGCTGGGATTCCAGGCATCTTGAGGATGGCCAGCCTCTCCTGGGACCTGCTGACTCCCAAACTCCACTTCTGAGTTAGCAGCACTATTTTGCCTTTCACAAGGGCTGAAATTCCTGCACCATCTTGCCTATTAATTGCAGAATAAAATTCAAGATGGTGGTGCTCAAGGGTGAAACTGCTGATTTCTTCAACTATATCAGAAGTCAGGTGTTCTACAGTAGTGCCATTGCCAAATGGGAGGGAGGATGATGTTTGAGGAACTGACATCTTGCTATATTAAAGACTTCAATTTCCCCAATACAGTAATAATAACTGAAGCCTTAGAAGAGCATAAACTTAAATACCACCTTGATTATAGATCTGCTGACATTTGGAGCTGTTTGATTACTTTGGGTTGGATTTAATGTTCACCTGCACTTTCAGTTGGTCTACACTCAGGCTAACAGTCTCCTAGAGCTTTGGCTAGTGAGGCTGCCCCAATGATATTTTGTTATATTGCTGATGGATTCTGTGGATGGATGGCACAGAATGCTGTACTCAATAAGCAGTGATACTTAAAAGATATTTTTTTATTAATTTGTAGTGACTTTCAAGCATGATTCTGGCACACTGAGACAAATCAATGTGAAATCCAAGCAGCAACTAACTGTTCTTTCAGGTGAGCTTGTAAGATCCTGATGGAGAGCTTCCTCTTTGAGATGTGAATGGTGATTGGAGTTTTGCTTGTCTCCTTTTCTTTTAGGTATTTTTTGGCAGAGTAGCTAAAATATTGATCTTGTGCAAGTGAGCCAAATGCAGCACAATAGAAGCTGGTAGATCCTGAATATTATTACATAGCAGCACTCTTCTCATGATACAGGGCTATCTTAAATGCAGACTTGATGCTTCACTGTGCTCACCTACAGCTTTGTACAGTCTAGGAAAAGGATGACTCTTCTTCTCTGTGGAACCCTACACTGCATATTTTGCTTATCTTTTGCTTGTTCACTCTGAATTGTGTTTTTGAGTGACCTCTGATCACAGGGATTGCATTCCTTTTGGAGGAAACTAGAGAAGCTAGGGGTGAATAAAAAGGAGAGGTGGGACTTCAGACTGTTTCCCTCACAGTCTCCCAGCAGGGTCTTAAAGTCATAGCTGCCTTCCCCTTCTGTGTGTGGTCTAATGGGGTTTGTGAGCTCTTGGACCGCCGAGCGGATTGAGGCTCTGTGTGGATTGTCCCAGACTGCTTCACTGTGGGGAGCCAGATATCCTGTGCCTGGGAATGATAACTGTGGCACCCCCAGGTAGCAGTTTTGTCTTTTCTAGAAAAGAAGTGGACCTGGTCTGCCTGGGAGGTTTATGCAGGAGATTGCCTTGGGGAGGGGGAGAGTGCCTGCTCCCTGCTGCCAGGGCTACAGCAGGGGCTGCCTTGCAGTTTCATTGGCAGCTGCATTTTTGAACAGCAATTCAGGAGAAATGGAGACATTTTGACCTCCATCTTTTATCCTCAACTGCTTAATCTGCTGATATGTTGGGGGATGCCACTGGAGGATGCCATGCTGAAAGGGGCAGATGTGAGCATCATCACAAACGAGAAGGGGCTGAATATCCTGCCCAGCTGATGAGACTCACATGGAGCATCATTTCAAATGGTATCTATGCTTCTCACTCTTTGGCTAGGTGTGAAAACAGCTTTTTGTAACATTATTATTTTTCCTGCCAATCATATTGCCATGCTCAAGGCCTTTTGTAGAAATTAGGTCTCTGCAGGAAGCAGATAATGAGGTCTGTTTAACCTTTTGGCAGAGCAGGAGCTGTGGAAACACATTTGAGGGAATGAGCTTTAGCTTTAAAGGAAGCTGGCTGCTAAATAGCAAACCAAAACAGCCAATTAATACACACTGCAGAAAGGGGCAATGTAATGGGAAAAAAAATAACTGGAGAGGGTGAGCTCTCATTTGCCAAGGCTTGGGGCACTGTTGCTAAATGCACTATCAATATTTTTGCAACCTGCCAACAGTTAGTGTCAGATCAATGCTCACTTTTCATCGGTGAGGGAAGGGTCTTTCTGTCGGCTATCATGGGAGAAATCAGAGGCAGTGATCCTGTAAACAGTGCTGGGGCTTGTGTGACTGTCCTGCACACTGCTGTGAGAGCATCCCTGCCTTGTGTGGGTGACTGTCCTGCACACTGCTGTGAGAGCATCCCTGACTCATCCCACACTGCAGCAGTGCCAGAGGGTGGTGGGAGGGGGAGAAGTAACCTTGGGCTGTAGTTGGAGGCAGATGATTTGCCATTAATGGACAGTCACTCTGGAGTTTTTGTGTGAAATGTAAGTGCACCACTAGTAATAAAACAGTTCTCTTCACGGTGCAAGTCTGAAGTCTGCTGCTTAGGCAGGCCATGTGATCAGTTGCATTAGGTTCGTGGCAGGCTGCCCTGATCTGGGTAAGTTGCCGTCCTGATTTTTTCCTCCCCATATCTTTTATTCACAATATGAACTCACCAAACCTGCAGGACAGTGTTTCACTTCAATTTCATTTGCAGAGGGAGAGCCAGGTGTTGTGCAAGCCAGGCAAAGCCATGGTTAAGCTGCTAGTTCTCCAGGTACTGAATCCAGTCAGGTCCCACAGTCAGGGACCTGTACATCGGTAGAGGCACCTGCAGGACTGTGGCTGCAGAAGGTGAAATTAAGGAGAGTCCTTTGAATGGCTGTGTTGTCCTGTACCTGTTTTGGCCAGGTCCTACTTCTCCAGAGCTCAGCTCAGCCTCTCCTGCCTCCTCCTTGTGGCTGTCCTATCACCTGCTTCCCCAAATATGCTCAGGTGTATAGTAGAGGAAATGTATTGTATTTAAATATCTGTATAGAGGCTTTGCCCCGGAGGTCCTGGTTGCCCTTGATGGGCTGCAGCTGTGATGTCCTTAATTGGGCTGCAGCTGTGACCAATGAAGATAACTGGGATAAAAGGGGGCAGGTAAGCCAGTCAGGGAGAGCCTTGGAGGAGCTCTGACCTGAGAGAGAACAGCATGCAGCAGAAGGAGTCTGTGAAGAGCTGCAGCCATGAGAATATGCCAAAGAGGTATGGACTTTAGAAATCTAATGACAAGAATATGGGACTCTAGAAATAATAGAAGAACAACACAGGTGGATATTTGGTTGGTCTTCTTGCTGGGAGCAATTTAACTTAGGTGAGATGGCTCACTATGAGAAAGCTGAGTGTGTGCATCCAGCTCTGTTGGATCAGTGCACAGGATGGGCACACAATGCTAAGCCACAACTTAGCCTGACAAGTGAACACTAGTATTTGTCTTTGTAGAGCTCATGAAGAAAGTTATTCTGATCTACACTGATTCTCATGAAAGTTAAGATACACTTTTTATTCCTGTTTTAAAAACTCAAGTTCAGAATAATTTGTCTTTATGCTCTGGAAATCTGGGGAAGTTAATCTACTTCACCGGCAATGAGAAATGAAACTTCTAACAGAAACATCAGTAACTTGGAGTAGCTCTTCTTTTGCGAGGGGGTAAAATCCCTCACCTTTATATGAACATTTTGCTGCATATTTATTGGGATTGGATCATGTCTAAAGAAACTTTACTCTCACTGAGATCAAAGGAGAATGCTTCCCTCTCATTGCTAAAACTAACATATTCCCTGTCAATTGTTTGGAAGGCAGTTGAACTCATTTCTTATTACAGCCCATTATAAATCACTCCTCATTTCAATCTCATTTAGTTAATTCAGTCATCAAAGGGTTGTAGGAGGCATAAAGTATTTTATTGATGTATTTAGCTCTTCACAGAATTAAAAAGAAGTATTGAACTTCTTAGGTCTCTTTACTTGCAGATGGCTCTTGTGATGCAGGAAAAAGCTTCATTCCCTCCTGTAGAAGGCAGAACCATTAAAAATGAAGAAGCAGCAAGAGACTCTCAGCAAGAGATTCTCTCCAGGCTTCTGTGGGAGACTGATGAACAATATAACTTGTTTTCATATACCATGTTAAAAAATTCATCTCTTGACAACATGCCAAATTTTTCAGGACTTCATCATATTAATTTGAAGAAGCTGAGGTCTGATAAAAATGTCAGGAAAATATCAGGTAATTCTGAAGTTGTTCTATTTAACGCTTCAAATGTTAAATAAGAAAGGAACTGTGATCTAAGGAAGAACAGTCCATATAAAAGTTATTAATGGGCAATGAGATGTATGTAATTATGCATACTTTTAAGCCTCTGCTGCAATATGTCTCCCACAAAAAGTCATTCCAGTATTCCATGAAACACAAAGCTGATTCTTGTAAAGGCAAAAGTTACAGCATTTGCTAGTGAGGGCAAGTCTTGGATTTTCAGACAGCCATTGCCTACACCCTCAGAAACGGACTCATGCTATAGCATGTGTCATCCTGATCCCCCTCTCCTCGATATCTGTGGGAATACTTTCATTTACAAGGAGGGCAACAAAGACAGGTACTGAACTCCTTCTTGCATGACTGCAGCTTGTCCTTCTGTGAATTAGACCATTTGGGAGGTGTTGGGAAACTTCATTAATTATCTGTCCATATGCAGAGGATTTCTGTTGAGCTAAAAGTAGGGATACCCTGGATCCTCCAAGTTGGCTCTCACTCCCTGTGGTTTAGATGTTGGCCTCAGGTGATTGGAAGAGAGATTGTGAGGGCTGCCTCCATGGCAGAGAAGCCCAGTAACAGACACTTGCAAAGATCTGCTGCAACATTAAGGCATCAACTACAGCCTTTAACAAGAAGGTGCTGGTGGTAAAA